TTTGGTGAATGAAATGAAGCCCCGGAAAATACTAAATTTAGTGAAAATCGTTGGAGCGGTTTTCAAGATCCTGATGAAGCCGAAATTTACAGATTTTTCATGATTTTAAAGATTTTGAAACAGAATAAATCATAGTATGAAATAAAACCGCCCGAATAAGTCCTATTTTACATCAATCAACGCCATACTAGACAAGGAAAATAGACCTTATGTCATAGCGTTAACACTATTTTAACAGCTGTCAAAATTGCCATATTCGGGCGACCGTACCTAAGAGTAGTTTTGTACAAGTCTACTACAAACCCTTACCATTTTGTCTAGTCTGTCCGATGTTTGCCTGTTTCACTGTCCACAACAAAAATAGACTTCAATATTTTAAACTTGTATAGCGCGTCAGCAGTCTAGGAAAATACCGGTGGCGCGGACACTGCAATTTCTCTGTAAAACAAACTAAAGCCGACTTCTTTGTGCACTTTGTGTCAAACGCCTTGTGAACGGTACAAAAATAAAGAGTATACTGAAGGTTCACTTGACCCTATTCAGTATTTTTGCGATTGTCACTGTTACGTAGCCAGGGTTACTACTGTCAAAAATTTAAAGTTTAAGAATATCAAAACAGCAAAATCTTTTGTTTGCTAAATCTAATGATTGAGTTTATAAAAAAAATCATGACATGGCAAAATAAAATTTAAAATGCCAGACAACAATATGATTTTTTCCTTTTTCTTGAAAATAAAATAGATAGAAAATATAGAAAGAAGCAATGTTTTTTTTAGTATTTTAAATATACCTAATGTAAAGGAGACCAATCTTTCAAGCTTAAACTGGTTTAAACTGGCTCAGCATTTTACGGTTGAATAGCAAGAAGGAGCGCTTAATGACAACGGTTTATCAAGACAACTAAAGTAGGAATAATGAAATAAATACTGTTCAAATCTTGTTTAATGATAGTTTTAATAGGCTACTTTATGAATTTCAAGATCTCTAGGTATTAAATATACAATAAAAGAGGTTAATTAATTTATATACGTAACATCAAATATGAGTTCTCTTTTCTTATGATTGCTTTTAATACCAAGAATTAATGTTTTATTCCGTTCCTATAAAATTCTAGAAATTTAAGAATTCTGTGTAGGTACGTAATTTGGTATAGCCAAATTAGGCTTTTCTATAGCTATACAAATAATATTTATAAAAGCCAAATGCTATTAAGCCAAATTTACTCTCTATAGATTGAAAACGCTACATCTTCAAAAAAATTTAGAGAACAAAAAAATACAGAAAGATTTTGTATCTTTCCTTTCATTTTACTTTGCAAATACGAAAATCCACGTAAAATTTTAAATCAAGGTGACTGGCATTAAAATATGACTTACTCCTGGGGGGATGTAAGACGTGCGGAAGATAATCTTGAATAAAAGCACAAAATAGAGAGTTTATACAGGGTTATTTTTTAGTCAATGCGCAAACTTAGGAGGATGTTTCTACTCGTGATTCTGAACAACTTTTACTATGGGGCCACCTGGGAAATCTAAAAAAATATTTTGGGTGTTCCATACATTTTTGCCGAGTATAGGTATGAGTTTTTCTATGGAACAACCAAATATTTTTTTGCGAATTCGCAGGTGGTCCCATAGTAAAAATTTATCATAATCACGAGTAGAAACACCCTGCAAAGTTTGCGCACTGACTAAAAATAGCCCTGTATTCTATCCATTTAAGGTATCAACTTATACTTGTGTTTCTTGGCATTTGTATAGAAAACCAGTATGAAATGATCCCCTAAATGTAGGTAGATGTACTTACTCCACTTGTTTTATGACAGCCGATGTGGCGTAGTGGTAAACATGACTGCCTGTAACGCAGAAGGTTCCGGGTTCAATTCCCGATGGGGTTACTCACAGAGTTGATATTTATCACTTTGTGATTTTTTTTCCAGTCAGGTTAGGACATTGCAGGCTGAACCACCTGATTGTCCGAAAAGAAAGATGGTTCCGTGCTTCGCATGGGCACGTCAAGCCGCCGGTCCCGGTTGCTTTCTATGATGGCGGTCGTTACGCAACCATGTCAGAGGCCTGCTACTTGCAGTAGGCGGTTGAAAATTTCTGACACCAGGGTTCATCGGGTCGTTGGACGACTCGGTGTCCCAGACGAAGAGAGAGAGAAACTTGTTTTATTCGCCTACTAGCTGGTACCCGCGAACTTCGTATCGTTTCATTCCTTAAACCTGTTCAAAATTCTGATTTTCTTACCAGCATCCTAAAAATCGTCACGCTCTAGATAATCATCACGCAAATATTGTTGGAAATACATTTTTCAAACCATAGTTGCATTGCCAACAGATGCCAGCAGAAGCGTTCCATCATGCTCAACAACTTTTGCTTTGGATTCATAATATATATTTCAGCTGGGCTTTTGGTGGTGCACCTGGTGGTTTACATCTGGTACTCTAAACCTTCGTTGTCTATTTGCCAGCAGAAGCGTCCCATCAACCTGAACAACTTTTGTTTTGGAGTTATATCTGTATCTCTTATAGTTTAGCTGGGCTCCTGTTGGTACACTTGATGGTCTACATGAGGTACTCCAAACCTTCGATATCTTTTCACCATCAGAAGCGTCCTATCAAGCTGAACAACTTTTTGCTCTGGAGTAATATCTGTATCTCCTATAGTTCATCTGGGCTCCTGTTGGCGCACCTGGTGGTCTACATCAGGTACTCCAAACCTTCGATATCTTTTCACCAGCAGAAGCGTCCTATCAAGCTGAACAGCTTTTGCTCTGGAGTCATATTTGTATCTCCTATAATTCATCTGGGCTCCTTATCGTGCACCTGATGGTCTACATCAGGTACTGCAAACCTTCGTTGTATATTCGCCAGCAGAAGCGTCCCATCAACCTGAACAACTTTTGCTTTCGAGTTATATCTGTATCTCTTATAGTTTAGCTGGGCTCTTGTTGGCGCACCTGGTGGTCTACATCAGGTACTCCAAACCTTCGTTGTATATTCGCCAGCAGAAGCATCCCATCAACCTGAACAACTTTTGATTTGGAGTTATATGTGTATCTCTAATAGTTTAGCTGGGCTCCTGGTGGTGCGTCTGATGGTCTACATCGGGTGTTCCAGACCCTTAAGTGGAAGCAAAAGTTGCCTATGTCCGTTTTCGGTGTATGAGTAATCTCTGTGCCAAATTTTATCAAAATCGGTTCAGTGGTTAAGGCGTGGAAGCGTAGCAGTCAGACAGACAGATTTACTTTAGTATGGAAGTATGGATATGGATTGCGCGTGACACTTGGCGTCATATGTAACTCCTTTTTTGTGTTAAAAGAAAGTTTTGTTTTTAGTATGTTACGTAGGCATTCATCCTCCCATTTTTCATGAACTATGCATTCGGACAAATTAACATGCAAAGTTTTTTTTGGTAGCAAGATATTGATGATACCTTGATATTATTACTATCTCTTTTGAGCGCCTGACAAAACCTGCAGAGCAATATCAACCACGGATACTTGTGTGTTTTCTTTCTGCAGGTAGTTTTGGGCGTCTGAATAAATCGTTTTTTGGATTTTTAATTTTCCAACGGAATTTTTCCGCGGAAAAAAGTAGCCTATGTCCTTTCTCAGGTTATTATCTATGTTTATGCCAATTTTCATCAACATCTGTTCAGTGGTTTAGGCGTGAAAGCGTAGCAGACAGACAGACAGACAGACAAAGTTACTTTCGAATTTATAATATTAGTATGGATGTTTCCTAGTGCAGCTGTTTTCTGCCAAATGCCAACCTGCCAAACCGTAGACATGCTCTACCATCCTCTACGCCGTAGAGCCTTGAATGCAACACTGCTACGTGCGAGCTACGAGCTACGTTTCGTAGTAAATCTTGATGCATTTGACAATCTTCGACTGGTGCAATTTTGTAGGTACTATAGGCGGCAAATCCACCTACCCATTTAAAGAACTAACTTATACTGAGTTTTATAAATACTAATAAATTGTGGCGACAGTAGTATCGCCAACACATCTACCTATTTATTTAAGAAAACAAAATATATGTGTACGTTCTATATATACACATAATCACGCCCCTTGCCCATAGGGGTAGGCAGAGACTACTTCCTTCCACTTGCTACGATCCTGACACACCTGTTTCGCTTCCTCCACATTCATCAATCTTTTCATACATGCTCGTCGGTTTAGGGTGCTCTTGACCTGACCTTTCTTTAAGACGTCCCAGATTTGATCGAGGTACGTTCGTCGAGGCCTTCCCCTTCCAACGTTCCCATCCACGTTTGCTATACAGGGAGTAACAGAAAGGGTATAACCAGCAGAAAGGAGGTTAAGGTATTCATTAAACTGAACAACTTTCCCCATAAAACATGGCTCGAGATACGAAAAAAAATGTGTCTCTCATAGTAAATCAATCAGCTGATCGGCAATTTTGTATGAGAAGGTACAATTTCTTTTTCATATTTCGACCCATGTTCTATAGGTTAAGTTGTTCAGTTTCATGAGTACCTTGACCTCCTTTCGGCTGGTTATACCCTTTCTGTTACTAACCATCCATATCTACTAACCATCTATATCATATACCATCTATATCTAAACCATCTATGCATACCTTTTTCTATACCAGTCACTTTTCTCCCCGTAACATTCTAGTTTTTCATAAAAATACCGTTTGCCGTATAAGTTGATGAACCGGGACCAAAACGGCTTCACGTGCCCTCCAAAGCACGGAAACATGTGTCTTTTCGGACAATCAGTGCCCGATGTTACGAAACTACAGGCTACAATTCTACAGGTGACATTCGATGTACATAGCGTAGCCGATTTAATTGTGAGATAATAATGGCTAACCACTACGCAATGTACATTTAATTTTACCTGTAGAATTTTAATTTTGCCTGTAGCTTCGTTGCGTAGGCCACAGGTGATTCAACCTGCAATATGTCCTTACCAGACTGGAACAAATTCACAAAGTGATAATTATCAACTTTGTGAGTGAACCACCGAGAATCGAACTCAGAACTATCTGCGTCGCAGGCAGTTGCACCACCACTGCACCACAGGAATTATCTTGAGCCAGGGTTGCCAAGCTACTTAAATAGCTTTACTTGTAACGCTTAAATAACTATACTAACTAAGCCGGGTTGTCACTAAATCTCGGCTTAGTCTTTACAATAGAGTTTCAGGAAGTGTCTGATAAGGAACATGGTTCTCTTCTCCAGAAGGCTTTCGTTGACATTTCGATTGCAGTATGAAATATAGCATAAAAGGTGTAAAAAATGAAATGCGAATAATTTTGATGCGTTATGAAAAACATGATTATTTACGTAATAACGGGGTGATTGGTGGTAAAGAGCAACTTACTCCAAGGAACAAAGACCGAAAGATGATAAAAAAACTAGATTGTTTGGGACGTCCAATATTTTAATTTCGTATTGGACTTTGGGTCTTTTGGGAAAGTTGTTCCTTATCTGTCGTCAACCGATTCTCACTGTAATAATAATTAGGGGGTGTTTGCCATGCTATTAATGCTTAGGGTACGGTCATTCGAATAGGCCATATTTGACAACTGTCAAACCCATACTAAGAAACATGTCAGCAAAGAAAAATAGACCATAAGTCACATCACTAACATGATTAGACCATTCGAATGACCGTACTATAGGTGGATTGGCAAGCGAAGCACGAGATTTGTATTTACCCTCATCGTTAAATCTACTTATCTATAATGGTTGAAATTTTCCTGTTGTCACTTCGCGTGGCATCTCATTGGGGCTGTGATGTTTGATAAAATTTACGAGCAGGAAAACATATTAATGGACTTTTGCTAATGGAAGCGACGAAAAACTGAAACTTATTTACTTAGTTATTTTGGTTCGATATTGCTTCAAGAACTTGTTTTTTGTTATTAAGGTTTTACAGGTTTCTCGCATAAATTATAATTTCCACTGATACGGACGGATATAGATTTTCTTAGACCTCTGATAGTAAAAAAAACACTCAATAACTCGTGTTAAAGGCTTGTACTTTGTTCTCAATTTTCATACAAAATGTCAAAGGTTTTGACAGACGCATCCGTCGCAGCGTCGTGCGATGCGATGCCCTTTGACATGGTTTGACAAAACCGTTTTCTCAATAATGATTAATGAATGAGGCCCTGGAGATTTCTCTTTGCGCCTGTTGTCTGCCATCAGCAATAAGCTTTGAGTTTTCCTTATTCAATTCGTTCACACAAAAATCATTTTACAGGCCCAAGTAGAGTAGGCACTACCTCTAATAAAATTCCTCGAAGCCATATGAAATGTGTGGAAAGCTTCGAACAGCGTAATAGCTTCCTATCAGTCGGAGCGCCCTCTGGAGGCGCGTCTACTTCCGCGATGCATTCGCCGGTAATGCACATCGCACCCCCACAGGGCGGGTGTGTACACACCGACATGTTTGAAACGAATCTGAAGAACGAATATAGGAATGACATACCTAATGAAGGAAAGAAAGGATAAAATAATGACAAAATGACAAAATGAAATACAAGCATGAAACAAAAAATGTTGAAAGAATGAACGGATAAAAGAATGAAAGAATGAAAGAACGAAAGAATGAAAGAACGAAAGAACGAAAAAACGAAAGAACGAAAGATCGAAAGATCGAAAGAACGAAAGAACGAAAGAACAAAAGAACGTAAGAACAAAAGAACGAAAGAACGAAAGGACGAAAGGACAAAAGAACGAAAGAACGAAAGAACGAAAGAACGAAAGAACGAAAGAATGAAAGAATGAAAGAATGAAAGTATGAAAGAATGAAAGAATGAAAGAATGAAAGAATGAAAGCATGAAAGAATGAAAGAATGAAAGAATGAAAAAAGAGCTTCGAACAGCGTAATAGCTTCCTATCAGTCGGAGCGCCCTCTGGAGGCGCGTCTACTTCCGCGATGCATTCGCCGGTAATGCACATCGCACCTCCACAGGGCGTGTGTGTACAGACCTGCATCTTTGAAATGAATGTTCGAATGACAGAATGAAAGATTCAAGAAGAGAAAAGAAAGAAATGAAGGAGCAAAATAATGAATGACAAAATATAAGACTCACATACTAAAATAATGAAATAAGAAGAATGAATGAAGAAATAATTACATAAAATAGTAAAGAATAAGAATGGAAAGCTGACTAATGTAAAATTTATGAATAAAAGAAGAACAGCTTGTAATTATAAATTAATGAAAGGAATGGATTTCGTAAACCTATAGTACCGTCATTTGAATAGGTATTATTAACAGCTGTCAAAATCATATTAATGCTCCGACATAGGGTCCATTTTTGTTTGTTAACGCGTCTTCTAGTATGGGTTTGACAGTTGTCAAAAATGGCCCATTCGAATGACAGTACTATAATGAAATGGAAGTGTGAAAAGCTTCTTACAGCGTAATAGCTTCCTATCAGTCGGAGCGCCCTCTGGAGGCGCGTCTGCTTCCGCGATGCATTCGCCGGTAATGCACATCGCACCTCCACAGGGCGTGTGTGTACAGACCGACATGTTTGAAACGAATTTAAAGAACGAAACAAAAGAAAAAAAATGGAGTGATGAAAGAATTACAAAATAAAAGAATGAAATAAAAAAGAATGAATGCATTCGTTCATATAATTACATAAAAATTGTAAAGAATGAAAGGATGAAAGGCTGACTAATGAAAAATTTATGAATAAAAGAATAATATTTAGCATAAATTATATTTTAATGAAAGGAATGTATTTCGTAAGCCTATATTACCGTCATTCGAATAGGCATATTTGACAGCTGTCAAAGTCATGTTAATGCTATGACATAAGGTCTATTTTTCCTTGACATGTTTCCTAGTATGGATTTGACAGCTGTCAAATATGGCCTATTTGAATGACCGAACTATAATAAAATGAAAGTGTGAAAAGCTTCTTACAGCGTAATAGCTTCCTATCAGTCGGAGCGCCCTCTGGAGGCGCGTCTACTTCCGCGATGCATTCGCCGGTAATGCACATCGCACCTCCACAGGGCGTGTGTGTACAGACCTGCATCTTTGAAATGAATGTTCGAATGACAGAATGAAAGATTCAAGAAGAGAAAAGAAAGAAATGAAGGAGCAAAATAATGAATGACAAAATATAAGACTCACATACTAAAATAATGAAATAAGAAGAATGAATGAAGAAATAATTACATAAAATAGTAAAGAATAAGAATGGAAAGCTGACTAATGTAAAATTTATGAATAAAAGAAGAACAGCTTGTAATTATAAATTAATGAAAGGAATGGATTTCGTAAACCTATAGTACCGTCATTTGAATAGGTATTATTAACAGCTGTCAAAATCATATTAATGCTCCGACATAGGGTCCATTTTTGTTTGTTAACGCGTCTTCTAGTATGGGTTTGACAGTTGTCAAAAATGGCCTATTTGAATGGCCGTACTATAATGTAATGAAAGTGTGAAAAAGCTTCGAACAGCGTAATAGCTTCCTATCAGTCGGAGCGCCCTCTGGAGGCGCGTCTACTTCCGCGATGCATTCGCCGGTAATGCACATCGCACCTCCACAGGGCGGGTGTGTACAGACTGACATGTTTGAAACGAACTTACAAAATAGTGAAGAAATGAAGGGATGAAAGAATGAAAGAATAAAAGAACGAAAGAACGAAAGAACGAAAGAACGAAAGAACGAAAGAATGAAAGAATGAAAGAATGAAAGAATGAAAGAATGAAAGAATGAAAGAATGAAAGAATGAAAGAATGAAAGAATGAAAGAATGAAAGAATGAAAGAATGAAAGAATGAAAGAATGAAAGAATGAAAGAATGAAAGAATGAAAGAATGAAAGAATGAAAGAATGAAAGAATGAAAGAATGAAAGAATGAAAGAATGAAAGAATGAAAGAATGAAAGAATGAAAGAATGAAAGAATGAAAGAATGAAAGAATGAAAGAATGAAAGAATGAAAGAATGAAAGAATGAAGGAATGAAGGAATGAAGGAATGAAAGAATGAAAGAATGAAAGAATGAAAGAATGAAAGAATGAAAGAATGAAAGAATGAAAGAATGAAAGAATGAAAGAATGAAAGAATGAAAGAATGAAAGAATCAAAGAATGAAAGAATGAAAGAATCAAAGAATCAAAGAATCAAAGAATGAAAGAATGGAAGAATGGAAGAATGAAGGAATGAAGGAATGAAGGAATGAAAGAATGAAAGAATGAAAGAATGAAAGAATGAAAGAATGAAAGAATGAAAGAATGAAAGAATGAAAGAATGAAAGAATGAAAGAATGAAAGAATGAAAGAATGAAAGAATGAAATAATGAAAGAATGAAAGAATGAAAGAATGAAAGAATGAAAGAATGAAAGAATGAAAGAATGAAAGAATGAAAGAATGAAAGAATGAAAGAATGAAAGAATGAAAGAATGAAAGAATGAAAGAATGAAAGAATGAAAGAATGAAAGAATGAAAGAATGAAAGAATGAAAGAATGAAAGAATGAAAGAATGAAAGAATGAAAGAATGAAAGAATGAAAGAATGAAAGAATGAAAGAATGAAAGAATGAAAGAATGAAAGAATGAAAGAATGAAAGAATGAAAGAATGAAAGAATGAAAGAATGAAAGATTGAAAGAATGAAAGAATGAAATAAAGTCAAAAGACAGTGTAAAAGAATGAACAAATTAAAAGAATGAAATTATGAAATATCTCAAAGAGAGCTTAACGAATGCATTGATTAAAACGAACTATGTGAAGAAGCTTCGAACAGCGTAATAGCTTCCTATCAGTCGGAGCGCCCTCTGGAGGCGCGTCTACTTCCGCGATGCATTCGCCGGTAATGCACATCGCACCTCCACAGGGCGTGTGTGTACAGACAGGCATATTTCAAACAAACATAGGAATGATAGATTGAAGGAATAAAGAGAAATAAAATTAAAGAAAATGAAAGAATGACAAAATGTAAGAATGATATGACAGACCGACATCTATGAGACGAACTTAAAGAAAGGAACAAAACAAAATAGTGAAAAAATGGAAGGATGTAAGATTGAAAACTAAAAGCATGCAGAAATGA